GCTTCATTTACCAGGCTCAGAAATTTGGTTTGTCATCCCAGAATGTATCAGCCTCCACGAGAGGAAGTAATCCCCTAAACAGACTGTATTTTACATGTTCTTTATGGTTGGGGCTCCTCTCGTTCAAGACAATTCTGTACACAGAAAGACACATAAACAACAATATAGCTGTCCTATGGATATGTGTTGTGAAGACAGAATAGAGAAAAGGAGGAAATGCCTCTTTAAAAAAAATTTTTTTTCCTTTATCGATTTTAGAGAGAGGAAGTGAGAGGGAGAGAGACAGAGAGAGAACATCGATTGGCCACCTCCTGCATGCTCCCCCACTGGGGATCAGGCCACAACCCAGGCATGTGCCATGACTGGGAATCAAACCTGTAATCTCTTGGTGCACGGGTCCACGCTCAACCAGTGAGCCACACTGGCCAGAAAGAAATGCCTGTTTTTTTTATCTTCACCCGAGGACATTTTTCCATTTTTGTTCAGGTAGAGTGGGAAGAGAGAAACGTCGACGTGAAAGGGACACATCGAGTGGCTGCCACCCACACAACCCAACCAGGGCCGGGGACAAACTGCAACCGAGGTACATGCCCTTAGTGGGAACCGAACCCGGGTCTCTCTGTACCGCAGGCCGACGCTCTAACCGCTGAGCCAAACCGGCCAGGGCCAGAAATGCCTCTTTTAAATAGGATGTTTAAGAAATACCTCACCAAAAAGGGCCATTTGAACAGTTCCTGGAGGAGGTCTGGAAGCAAGCTATGCATCTGAAAGAACAGCATTCTAGGCAACCAAGAGAATTGAAAGGCTCTAAGACACATAAGGCCTTAGCCTATTTAAGGAATAGCAAAGAGAACCATGTGGCTTGAACACAAGGGGGAATATATTTAATTGGAAAAAGTTATTCTGACAAAAGTCTGGTATGCAGATTATATAAAGAATCCACACAACTCAAAAATAGTAAGAGAAACACCCTAATTAGGAATGGGTGACATTTGAACAGACACTTCACAGAAGATATATGAGGTCAATAAACTCATGCTTAATTTAGCCATCAGGGAAATGCAAATTAAACATAATGAAATACTACTATACATCCGTATGACTAAAATTTAAAAGACTGATACTATCAAGTGGAGTACAACATGCAGCAACAACTTATATTGCTGAATATAACCACTGTAGAAGAGAGTTAAGTTTGGCAGTTTCCTTAAAAATTATATTTAACTTAGTAATAAAAACATGTATAAAATATACTTACCATACCCAGAAATCTCACTTCTGTTTATCCAGAAGTGAAAATGTATCCACACAAACGTTTACATATAAATGTTCATGACAAATTTTACTCATGATAGCCAAAAATGAAACAACCCAATACCTACAACACATCAATAGATAAACAAATTATGGTAAATTCATACAATGAAATGCTACTCAGAAATAGAAAAGAATGAACTGATACTTGCAATAATACTTGCAACACAGTGGCTCTAAAAACATTCTCAGCCAAAAAAAAAAACCAAAAACTAAAATTATATTACTGTATGACCCCATTTCTACAAAATTCCAAAAATTACAAATTTATTCTAGAGTGCCTAAAAGCAAATTAGCAGTTGCCAGGGATGGGGAAGTGGGAGACAGCGACTGGAAAGAGGACCTCTGCAGTGAAGCCAGTGTTCCACACTTTGATGTGGTGTTATCAGGGAGTTTGAATTTGTCAAAAATCATCAAATTATTCACCTTAAAAGAGTACATTTTATAGACTATAAATTATGTCTCAATAAAGTGGATTAAAAGTAGACATTGAAAAAAATTGTCTCAGTTCATAGCAGCTTGTTTATAAGCACCAAAAGCTGGAAACAACCCAAATATTCATCAAGTGAATGGATAAACAAATTATATATCCATACAATGGACTACAACTTGGCAGGCAAAAGGATCAACTGTTGCTACAAGGATGAATCTCAAAATAATTACACTGATGATAAAAGCCAGATATAAAAATAGTACATGCTGTATGGTTCCACTTATCTAAAACAGATCTACATTGGTTGCGTGGGTAAGGAGCCTGGGGGTGGAAAAGAGGAATTACAAAAGGGTACAAGGAAACTTTGGGGTAAGACATATATTCTATATTAATTGTGGTAATAATTTCATGGATGTATACATGTCAAATATATCAAACTGTACACTTTTAAAATGTACAGTGTACTGTATATCAATTATATTTCTAAAGCTGTTTTAAAAATTACAGTGCAACAACACTGTAGCTAGAATTAAAAAAAAAAAACTGACAGTACTGTGCTAGTAAGGATGTAACTGGAACCCTTACACGTTGTTGATGGGGATGTGAAATAGTATGGCCATTGTGGAAAAGTTTGGCAGTTTCTTATAAAATTAAACACATACATATCCCATAGCAGCAATCCTAGTCTAAGGGAAATAGACATGCATGTTCATAAAAATCTGTACACAAATGTTTATATCATCTTTGTTCAAAGGAAAAAAACTAGAAACAATCTAATCCTTCAACTGATAGATGGATAAACAAATTGTGGCATATCCCTACAATCTATAGGGATATTAAAGGGAGCATTAAAGGGAATGAACTATCAACCCACTCATTGACATGGATTAATCTTGAAAGCATTATGGCAAATGAAAGAAGTCACATTCAAAAGGCTACGCATACTGTCTGATTCCACTTACATGACATTCTAGAAAAGGCAAAATTACAGGGACAGAAAACATTAGTTGTTGCCAGGATCTGGGCTTGGTGGGAGCAGTTGGTTACAAAGCAACATAAGAGCATTTTCAGGGGTGGTAGTGGTGATGAAATGTCAACTGTCATTACAAACTGAATGCATTTGTGAAAAACTCATAGAACTGTACACTAAAAAGGTGAATTTTACTGTGTTTCAAAAACTCATCTTGGAGGTAAAGATGTTCCTTTTACCTACAGCTGCAGAGGACTAGAAAGCCTCATGCATCATAAAATGAATTCAAAAACTGATCTGATGAAGGGTTAACTGAGAACTTTCATAAGAATATCAATCTCGTTCTCTCAATACATAGGTCTGCATCTATATGTTGCCTGTCACCATCTGTTGAAGTGAGTCTAACCATGGGAAGTGTTATCTGAACAAACAGGTCATAGAAGACACACTCCGAGAAGTATTCCCATGTGAAAATAACCTGTACTTCTTGAAAAACTTCCCTCGGATGTAAGTGACTGTTCTGTATTGCTAACAGGTGTAAGTATGTGTAGGACCTCAATGTGAAATGAGGGGAAGAGCTCTGGTGCCTCCCGCTGTCATATACATGCTTGAACACTCAAAACTATGACTGCCAGATTGATTTATTTTTTAAAATATGTCTTCATTGAATTTTTAGAGAGAGCAAGAGAGAAACATTGAGAGAAACATCGAATGTCTGCCTTCTACATGCTCTCCACTGAGGATCGAGCCCACACCCGGCCATGTGCCCTGCCCTGGAATTGAAACGGGACCTCTCAGTCCATGAGATGATGCTCAGTCCACTGAGCCACACCAGCCAGGCTCTGCCAGATTAACAAAACCTCTAGAAAGCAGAGCCTGAAGCAAGTTTTGTGTTCCATTAATCAAAATTCCCCACTGTGGAAACGGACTCCTCCACACTTCTGATCATCACCTCGCCCTGTAGTAGCTGCTCAGAAATCTGCTGGTGGTGGCTGGGGACTATTCTTTTTCATGGTATTCTTGGTAAAACTATTTGAATTTTATTTTATTTTTTTCTGGTCCACGGGCTGACACTCCAACCACTGAGCCAAACTGGCTAGGGCTTATTTTATTTATTTATTTATTTATTTATTTATTTATTTATTTATTTATTTCTCACCCAAGGATATCTTTCCATTTTTTGTTCAGATAGAGTGGGAGGGAGGGAGAGGAAGAGAGAGAAACATCGATGTGAAAGGGACACTTCGAGTGGCTGCCACCCGCATGACCAACCAGGGCAGGAGACAAACCGCAACCAAGGTACACGCCCTTAACGGGAACCAAACCTGGGTCTCTCTGGACCTCAGGCCAACGCTCTAACCGCTGAGCCAAACCGGCCAGGGCTTATTTTATTTTTTAATATAATTTTTTCTTTATTGATATTTTTTTCTTTATTGATTTTTAGAGAGAGAGGAGAGGGAGAGAGAGAGAGAAACATCAATGAGAGAGCATCAATTGGCCTCCTCCTGCATGCCCCCACTGGGGATCTGGCCCACAACCTGGGCATGTGCCCTGACCAGGAATTGAACCAGTGACCTCTCAGTGCATGGGTCAACACTCAACCACTACACTACACCGGCCAGGTAGAACTATTTGAATTTTAAACTATTTATATGTGGGTTTTTTTTTCTTTCTCTTTCTTTCTATTTTTGAGACAGAAGGGAAGGGGGGAGGTACAGGGGGAAGAGAGAAACATCAATGTGAGAAACACATCAATTGGTTGCCTCCTGCATGAACCCCGACCAGGGCCAGGGATGGAACCTACAACTCAGGCACGTGCCCGACTGGCAATCCAACCCTCAACCCTCCAATGCGTGGGCCGACACTCTAACCAGTGAGCAAGGCCAGCCAGGGCATGTGTGTGTGTGTTTTTTAATAAAATAAATTTAAAAATCTTAAATAGAATACTAAAGACCTTTTAAAAAGGGAGTTGCTAGTCCCTTTAGCCAGAAAACTTTCAATGGTGTGGAGTAGAAGCCTAAACTACAGTGTGTTGAAGAATAAATGAGACACAAGATAGCAAATGGAGCCTTGCTAACAACCACGCTGATAACTGAAATAGAAGAGGAAGGGGACAGGGAACAATAGGGTAAAGAAAGGTATTTTGAAGGTGGCAGTGTTTATATGATGGCACTTCTGCTGGCAATGTCCTCCTTAGAAAATGCTTGCTGAAGAACTTCTTACAACTATTAAACTAGCTGGACTCCCATTACCTGTCCCTGCTTGTTCTTTTTTTGTCTCACCAGTTGTCTTGCTCCAATTACTTTCAAGTGAGCTTTCATGATGTAGGACCAGCCCTTTAGCATCAACACTTCTATCTCTGTTCAATGTGCCAGGCAAAGAAAAACTTTATGAGCCATCACTGATGAAGGGTAGCAACTTCACTGAGCTAATTAGACTCAGAGAGGGAAGTAGCTGAGTTAGAGCATTTCCTGAAGGTCAGGTTCAACATGTTGTTCACATATAAAAGAGAACAGATAAAATAACTATCACATGCAGTACAAGACATTCTGATACAAATTTTCAAAGTAAGAGGTTTTAAAAAATGAAGCCAATTTACCCAAGTATTCATCAGATATCTCCTGAGGCTTTTGATGTCATGATGTGAAGACACTTTATTAAGCAAACAAAAGTTTTTGGCTTTCTCTGCAACTGAAAATAATTAACACCTCCTAAGTGATCCATCTGTGTGTTCTAGGGGTATATAAGCAAAGAGGCAACTTAAAAAATGTCAAGGTCAAGTCACTACTCCACTGTGAGATGCAAGTGGAGAAAGATTCCAGCAAGTTATACTCAACAGAAGCAAAAACTCAAGGAGCCATGCAAGTCTTCCCAGATATCCCAGGCTTTAAATGTCACATCCTATTCTGTACATTAAGCACCCTTTATAGTCTACAAAAGTTTTCAAGTTTTCTGAGTAGCTCTACCCAGCTGATAACAATTACCCTGTAAGGTAAATTATCTAGCATTCTGGTTTATCAGTCTTTTGCCCAATTGACAGTCAGTCCCTAAAAGTGTATCTACTCCTGTGTTAAATGGCATATCTGACAATTCAGTGAAAGAAAGTTAGTAGTCAAATCCCACAATAGACTGCCAAAGAGAGAAATGTCTAATCACAAAATCACCACCACTAATTATAAATAGTGATTAGGTTCCAAAGAAATTGTCTCCTAGGTAGATTTTAATAGAAATCTTGAACAGTTAGGGGTAAAAAAAAACAAACAAATACCATTAATGATTGGGTCAATAATAGAACATGACAAAATAGAACATGACTAGAATTTTTTGTACACATTCATAACACAAATCTAGTCAAAAGGAAATGCATAGAAAAGATAGAATTTTTAAAAATTATGTACAAGGACTTCTCTTTATTACTCTATCAGTTCTAAAATAATATCTTCCTTTTAAAAAAATTTAAGACGGGAACAACAGATTATTTCCTCCACTACTGTAAATACTGCAAAGAGTTAAGTATTAATATAGTTTTTCCTTATGTTCGAACTGAAGGGAGAAAAAAGTAGATTATAAACCTCTTTTGACCTGATCTTATAAAAAGTCACTCCAACAGTCTTCATTCCTGTCTCCAGATAGATTTCCAGTGCAGGTTTGTGTCATTCAGTCCATCCATAATAGGCTGGGTAGGGTAGTCCATAGTAACTGCCAGGACACCACCTCTGACTCTGGACTGCTTGGTTGGCATTTGGCTGTACATTCCAAGAGTACCTCCTTTGTGAATAGTCCTCTCCAGGGGGGCCAGGAGGAGGGTTATGGCCTCTCTGGTAAATGTTCTGATTCTGTGAAAATTTTCTTAAAACAGAAAGTAATAAACTATAATTAGTTTTAATAAAATATATAATGAGTTTTGTAAAAGAATAAATAGATACTCTGGTTCTACGGTTTTCTACCTGTGTGACCTTAGCAGATAAATTGCTTAATCTTTGGATTTCTTAGTTCTTTATAAAATTGCCTTGGCTGGTTTGGTTCAGTGGTTAGAGCGTCGGCCCACGGACCAGAGTCCCGGGTTCAGTTCCTGCTAAGGGCATGTACCTCGGTTGCAGTTTGTCCCCGGCCCCAGTTGGGGTCATGTGGGTGGCAGCCACTTGATGTCTCTCTCATATCGATGTTTCTCTCTCTCTCTTCCTTCCTCTCTCCCTCTCGCTTTATCTGAAGATAAATAGGGGAAAAAAAGTCCTCGGGTAAGGATAAAAAATAATAATAAATAAATAATAAAATGGAGCTAATAACACTTTCCATCTTCATGAGTAATGTTCTGAAGGTAAATTAAGACAATATAGTTAAATTACCTACCATAATGTCTCAGCACACAATAGATCCCAGAAGCTTTTCTACCTTTGAGATAAATGCCCGACTATTCTAATCAGATACTTTCTTTCCAAGTCTGGCAGGTTGACATGAGACAGAATAAGCTATTTATTTCTGAAAACATGAAGCTGCTTTCACATTATAATACATATATAAATTAATTATAAAATATAGAAATTTTAACCATGGTACATGCAACACATTTAGAACAGTAAAATTTAACTTTGTCTCAAAAGCAAGATCGGTAAATCTAATATAATCATACAAAAGAAAATTTGAAATCCGAGAAAAGTACCCCCTACCCCACTAACTCTCAATCTTGCCTAATCTAATTCGACTGTTTAATATTTCCTTGTTGATCTTTTCCCCATAGTATTAAAAAAAATTTTTTTTTTCTTTATTGATTTTAGAGAGAAAGGAAGGGTGAGAAACATTGATGAGAGAGAACATCGATTGGCTGCCTCCTGCATGCCCCCTACTGGGGACTTGGCCCACAACCTGGGCATGTGACCTGACCAGGAATCGAACCAGCGACCTCTTGGTGCATGGGTCAATACTCAACCACTGAGCCACACTGTGTGTTTTTTTTATTTTTAGAGAGAGGAAGGGGGAGAGAGAGAGAGAGATAGAAACATTGATTAGCTACCTCCTACATGTCCACTACTGGGGCTTGTGCCTGATGGGGAATCAAACCAGCAACCTCTTGGTGCATGGGTTGACGCTCAACCACTTGAGCCACAACATCCAGGCCCTAGTATTTTTTTATATTTTTTTACTGTTATGTGATAACCAACTTCTTTCACTTATAAGTGAGCTCTCACTTTCTGTGGCTTTATAAAATGTCATAGTATGGCCCTGGCCAGTTTGGCTCAGTGGTTAGAGTGTCTACCGTGGACCAGAGTTCCAGGTTCGGTTCCCGCTAAGGGCATGTACCTCAGTTGCAGTTTGTCCCCGCCCCAGTTGGGGTCATGTGGGTGGGGCGACCAGTCGATGTGTCTCCCTCACATCGATGTTTCTCCCCTCCCCACTCTATCTGAAGATAAATGCAAAAGTGTCCACGGGGGAAGATAAAAATAATAATAATAAAATTAAATGTCATAGAAAGGACATAATTTACGTAGCTTTTCTTCACTGTTAGAAAATGTAAGCTGCTACTAACTTTTTTTTGGTTAATCCTCACCCGGAGGTATTTTTTCCATTGATTTTTAGAGAGTGGAAGGGGCCAACCAGTGTGGTTGAGCATCAACCCATGCACCAAGAGGTCACTGGTTCAATTCCCGGTCAGGGCATATGTCTAGGTTGTGGGCCCAGTCCCCAGTGGGGGGGGATGCAGAAGGCGATCAATCAATGTTTCTTTTTTTTTTTAAATTGATTTTTTTTTTAAATCCTCACCAGAGGACATTTTTGCATTCATCTTCAGATAGAGAGAGAGGGAGGAAGAGAGAGAGAGAAACATCGATGTGAGAGACACATCAACTGGCTGCCACCCACACGACCCCAACCAGGGCCGGTGACAAACTGCAACAGAGGTACTTGCCCTTAGCAGGAACCAAACCCAGGTCTCTCTGGATGGCGGGCTGATGCTCTAACCACTGAACAAAACTGGCCAGGACTCTCATCGACGTTTCCATCTCTCTCTCCCTCTACCTTCCTCTTGCTCTAAAATCAATAAAGGGAAAAAAAATTAGAGAGAGTGGAAGGGAGAGGGGGAGAGAGAGAAAGAGAAACATTAATGTGAGAGAGATACATTGCCTGGTTGCCTCCAGCACATGCCCCAACTGGAGCTGGGGACTGAGGCTGCAACTCAGGTATGTGCCCTTAACTGGGAATAAATCCCAAGACCCTTCGATTTGAGGGCTGACACTCTAACCACTGAGCACACCAGCCAGAGCAGCTATTACCTACTTTTTAAAAATTTTTTTTTCCTCTATTGATTTTAGAGAGAGAGAGAAAGTGAGAGGGAGAGAGAGAGAAACATCAATGAGCGAGAATATAGATTGGCCACCTCTTGCATGTCCCCCACTGGGGATTTGGCCCACAACCTGGGCATGTGTCCCGACTGGGAATCGAACCGGCGACCTCTTGGTGCATGGGTCGACGTTCAACCACTGAGCCACACTGGCCAGACAACTACTTACTTTTTCACTGTAATAACACTGGAATTAACATCTCAGAACATGTACTACTATATCCTGAGTAACCTTAGTCAAGTGTTTGATTTGTAGCTGGGAGATTTGAGAAATGTGCTGAATGATTAAATGAATATAACTTCTTCCATATCTTGAAATATTTCCTTAGTCTAATGTGGAATTAACAGGTATGAGCATTTTTTATGGTTATTAGTGTTATGTTTCAAAAGGACTGTAGCAATTTTCAGTGCTACTGGCAATTCAAGCAACATTTTAAACGTTTGATTTTTTTAAAATTGATTTTTAGAGAGGGAGGGAGAGAGGGAGAAACACTGATATGATAGAGAAACAGTGCCCTGGCCATTCTCGAGTTTGATTCCAGTCAAGGGCACATACCTTGGTTACAGTTCAGTCCCTGGCCAAGGTCAGGTCTGCAGGAGGTAACTAGTTGAAGTGTCTCTCCCACATTGGTATCTCCCCCCCAACACTCTATCTGAAGATGAATGGAAAAATATCCTCAGGTGAGGATTTAAAAGAGAGAGAAACAGTAATCAATTGCCTTCTGTATGCACCCCAACAGGGGATCGAACCTGCAACCTGGGCATGTGCCTCTGACCAGGAATTGAACTGGCAACCTTTTGGTGCATGGGATGATGCTCAACCAACTGAGCAACACTGGGCAGGGCACAGGGAAAATTTAGAAAAAGGTTTACCATCTTCTAAAAATGCTAAAATCTTCTTGAAAGTGTTTATAATGTGCTAAAGTACATTTTAAGTTCATGTAATAGTCAACAACAACCCCTCTGAGGCAGGTATTATTAAAATTTCCATTTCATTAATGAGAAAAAAATTTCAGAAATCTTACCCAAGATCACATGTGAGTGAAGAGCAGAGCCAGGATACAAATCAAGGTTCAGCCTAACAACCACTACACTGGACTGCTTTATCATAAACTGTTGCTGTATTAACAGGCAAAGAAAAGAACCTTACGCCCTGGCTGGTTTGGCTCAGCGGTTAGAGCGTCAGCCTGAGGTCCAGAGAGACCCGGTTCGGTTCCCGCTAAGGGCGCATACCTCGGTTGCTGTTTGTCCCTGGCCCTGGTTGGTAGCAGCCACTTGATGTGTCCCTTTCACGTCGATGTTTCTCTCTCTTTCTCTCTTCCTCTCTCTCCCTCCCACTCTATCTGAACAAAAAATTTTTAAAAATGTCCTCGGGTGAGGGTAAAAAAAAAGAATAGAACCTTGCTATTTTAATCTGTACCAGCCTGGCCGGTGTGGCTCAGTGTTTGAGCATCAACCCATACACCAAGAGGTCACTCACTGGTTTGATTCCTGGTCAGGGCACATGCCCAGGTTGTGGGCCAGATCCCCAGTGTGGGGCATGCAGGAGGGGGTTAATCAATGTTCTCTCTCATCGATGTGTCTATTCCTCTCTCCCATTCCCTTCCCCTCTAAAATAAATAAAGAAAAAATATATATATATATATTTTTTTATCCTCACCCGAGGACATTTTTCCATTTTTCGTACAGATAGAGTGGGAGGGAGAGAGAGAGAGAAACATCGATGTGAAGGGACACATCGAGTGGCTGCCACCCGCACGACCAACCAGGGCCGGGGACAAACTGCAACCGAAGTACGTGCCCTTAGCGGGAACCGAACCCGGGTCTCTCCGGACCGCAGGCCAATGCTCTAACTGCTGAGCCAAACTGGCCAGGGCAAGAAAAAATATTTTTAAACTGTACTGAGGTTTTTCTATTTACCAAGTGAAAATACTTTTGTGATTTATCTGTTCAAATCCTTTGCAAATTTCTGTACTGGAATTTTTCCTATAATTTGTATTTACTCCTTAAATAACAACCTTCCTTATTCTGAAAACAATACCATTAACGTAGTCAAAGAATGCCAAGATCCTTTTTGGTAGCACATCAAAGTGTTGGCTTAAACTAAGTTTAGAAACAATGAGTATTTCTAAGTCCTTTTGCCAGATGCCTCTGCAAAGTCATTTATTTCCCATCCCAGTTGACAGTGATCAGAAAGAAAATGTCAATTCCTCACCATTATCATAATGTCTTTGTACTAATTTATAATACTATTCACTTCTATTTCAATTCTAGAAGAAGGGAAAGCAGCAATACCTTACTGACTGCTGTAAGTCTTGGGTTTGGGTGTGGAAATGCCGAGAAGGTGTTGGGTAACCTTGGGTCCAATGTACGTTATTCCTAGGTCTGTGGTTAACAGCCTTATTAGTGGTTTGGGCTGGTTCCATCATATACGTTGAGTATTCAAAACCTCTTGATCTCGATACACTGGAATTCCGATCCCTCAAAGAAAATGTTTTTTACATGTAATATTACTGGTTTCCAAATTTAGTAGCCAATTTAGTGTCCATATTTTGGCCCATAAAAATAACAATCCCATCATCCCCCCCCCCATTCCTATTTGTTAAGGTTTCCCTGAGCAAGTAAACAAGCTATAAGAAGAGTGGGTATGTGCAACTTAATGACATAAAAACATCTCCCTAACCACAAATTTCACATGTGAAATGCAACTTACCTTCTGATGGGACCATTCAGAAGGTCTTCAATGTAGTTTTGTCTTTCTATGCAATGTCCCCGGCACCTATTGAATACTGAGGAGTGGAAGAACTGTTAGAAAAAACTGTACAAAAAGCAAATCTTTCCTAGATAAAGCAAATCAGCTAAAATCCACTGACAAATTACTCAGGCTATTATATCTCAATATTTCCAGATACATCCCTATATAAGCTTTTGGCAAAAGATTATCTTATGTCAGAATAAATGAATTACAAACTTTTCTTTTTTCCAAAATTTGAGAAATTCATTTATATTTCCACCTCCAACTTCTATAAAAAGGGAAAAACAGTGATAAGTCTCATACTTACATTCAATTGCATTATCTGGTCTCATGCCTTGTACATCAATCAAATATCTAACAAAACAACATAATTTACATCATTTATATATAAAAATAAAAAAATCAAGTTTTTTCAGAAAAGGTACAATTTCTCTTACAAACATAGATATAAAAATCCTAAGACAATATCAGCACATCGAATCCAGTAATTGTTAAAGAATGATTTACCATGATCACAAAAAGGCTTTATTCCAAGGATGTAAAAATGAACCAACTTTAAAATTACTTACATTAATATAACAATTTAATTAATAAATAAAAAAACAAAAATATAGAACCAAATTGGCAAATGTTAAGGTATCCAATGATATACAAGTATGACATTATTTACCAGGAATCAACAAATAGCAAAAGACAAATTGGGAAAAAATGTCATATCTAAAAAATATTGTTTAATAACTGCATGAGCCAAAAACTTAGGAGTCAGCATCACTGCTATTTCTTCCATACCCTCATTTTCAACCCACCATGAATCTTAACAGTGACATCACCTACATATCTCTAGCATATGTCCACATCTATCCACCAAAATGACCACCATACCCTGGACCAAGCCACCATTATGCTTCAATTTCTACAAAAGCTTCCTAACTTGTCTACTTGCTTCCATGCTGTGCCCCTGTAGTATATTCTCCACTCAGTATAAAAAATGATAGGTTGAGAACACAAATTGATTATGTTCTACACTAACCCTCAAAGTAAAGAGTTCAATAATTTTTTATTACTCTTAAGATAAAGTCTAAAACCTTAAACACAGGCCTGCACGATCTAACTCCTATCCATTCTTCCAGTTTTATTTTAATGCCATACTTTCCCCATGGCCCAGCCCCCTGGCAAGTTCCTCCAACACAGCATATGCTCTCCTGTTATAGGGTCTTTAACTGTTCCTTATGCCTAGAATTCTCTCCCCAATGTTCCTATCTTAATACCTACTATTCCTTCAGATATCAGATCAAGCTTCCCCATTAAAACCTTCTCTAACTTCCATGATGAGGTCAAATTCTCCCTCTTAAATGTTCTCTTAACACCATGTTCCTCTCCTATTCACTTATCCAAGTTGTAATTCTATATGCATTTGTGTTATTCTTGAATACCTATTCCCTCTCTAGACTGTTAGGATCCACAAAAGGCAGGTCAAGTCTCTTTGCTCACAAGTCTTTTTGCTAGCACCCAGCACAGTGCTTACATATGACAGATACTCAATGTTTTCTGAATGAACGAACACAAATAAGTACACTGTAGCAAAATCCACAAAAAAGCACAAGGGTATGAACTTTTTGATTCAGAAATTCCATTCTGAGTGAAATTATCTCTGAAACAATAGAATATATACTCGAAGATATTCACAGAGGAATGTTCATTATTTCAATGTTTTATATCAAAATCTTCTTATTCATATGTTCATCAGTAAGCAAAGGAAAAAACAGCCTTTAAAAACAGAACATCTGAATATGATACCGTTAAATTCAAGTATATGCTTATATCTGCATTTTTAAAGTCTGAGAAAATATGCACTAAAATATTATTGGTGGTAAGCTCTGAGTGGGGGGCAAGATTGCTTTTTACCTCATACATTTCTATGCTGACTGCATTTTTGCAAACAGTTTATATTACCATTTAAATAAAACAACTTAGACATGGTCTGCCTCATAGGTTTGGCAACTCACCTGCAGATGAGGTAGCCAGTTCTGTTTAAACCATGGGTACAGTGGACACCAATAAGTCTGTCTATAAAACAGGGAGTGTAGTTAAATAAATGAATACCCTAAAAACAAGTTATATAATTTTCTGAATAGTAATATTAGTTACCACAATACTACCTGAAAAAAATTAACTCTGAAATGTGTTTTTTAAGGAACATACGATAAAGAATGATCTAATATAAAGTCAAAATTCATTGTCCTAGGAAATTTTGCATAATCCCCACTTAAATGCAATAGTGTAAACTGGGGAAGGCCCGGTGAGGTACTTACAGTAAAATTCCACTAAGACAAACTCATTTGTCTTAATGTAGAATACTCACCCATAACTGATTTAATTATTTTAAAAAGGGAATTAAAAAAGACTGCTTTTCACCTCTAAATCCCTGTACCCTAACAAGAAACCCAAAAGGCTCTCAAGTATTTACTGAATCAATCTATTTTCTGAGTCTACCAGTTCTAGAGAGTGGATTGTGGAGGGTCCTCTTCTCCATCAGTGAGCCTGGTATCTATGGGAGGGGCTTAGAGCAGAGGTGGCCAAATGGACTGTAAGCCAGGTCCTGAGACCGCTATGGCAGGGAGCACTGCAAGACACAGTGAAGTCAGCACAATGCAAGCAGAAAACCAACATGGGGTCAGCCTATACAAAACACTACCCTTGGTGTAACATGTGCATGACCAAGATTTACAAACATGTTCTTATGCACTTATTTGGATCTTCTAGCCCTCACGGGAACAGATGGAACACTATATAACAGTTCCACACAAAGGAGCCTGGAAGCAGTGAGTGGGCAACCAGCTGCACCCTAACATCTTAAGAGGTAATGTTTCTATGATTACAGCTTATACAAATAAGATAGTTTACCTACTCTGTAGATGCTGTGGTTATCACAGGCAAAGTCCAGCAAGTACAGGGGAGTTCTGTGACCAGGGCTTAAGATATTTAAGAACTAGTGTCTACATTAAGCAACCAGGTAACAGTTTGAAAATTTATCTTGAAAGTCATTGATATATCATCTCTCTCTTTCCTCCCATCCCCTATCTTCTCGTATCCACCACTTTTCTTTCTCTCCTACGCTCTATTCATATATATGTATGTGTGTGTGTGTATATAAAAAATATATATAGCCCTGGCTGATTTGGCTCAGCAATTAGAGTGTCAGCCCACGGACCAAAAAGTCTTGGGTTCAATTCCGGTCTAGGGCATGTACCTTGGTTGCGGTTCGGTCCCCAGCCCTGGTCAGGGTCATGCGGGAGGCAACCAGTCGATGTCTCTCTCTCACATTGACCCCTCCTTCCCTTCCTCCCACTTTATCTGAAGACAAATGGAAAAATATCCTCTCTCTCTCTCTCTCTCTCACACACACACACACATTTATGTCAGATTTACTTAATAAAGTGTATACTACTTAAGCTAAAGTTAGAAGACAAAATGAACTCTTTGTCCTGTGGGTGGGTGGCTTTGCAAAGAAAAAAGATTCCTCAATCTTAACAGGTGGCAAACACCATGTTCCTTCTGATAATTAGATATCAGAAACAGGCAACCAATTCTTTAAAATTTAGAAGCTGTTAAGACCTGTTTTCAAACAGAGTAAAGTAGATCTTAAACCAGGAACAAGAAAACACCAGCTTTTTAAGTTCTTCCTGTCTGAAAACTAAAGATAAGAAGTGGTCATGACCTTCCTTACTTGTACCCAAAGGGGAAATAGCAGAAATAATTTAAATATAAATGAAGAGGATATAATTCCACTACTTCACTCCGTTTTGTTCTGCTTCTAGGGGCTCTGTGTCACTCTAAACCTTTGCTTTTGTTTTCTCTTTTACATACTCTAAGAGCTGAGATTCTAATGTTTCCTTCCACCCACCACTCACCTCTTAACCAAGAAATAACACAAAAGAACATTTTAATTTTATTATATATTTCCCATTCAAATACCTAAAAAAAAAAAAAAAAAAAAAAGATAAGCTAGTTCAGTTCATATTTCTCAACTAAACTCATTTCCAAAATTAAATTGTTTATTTATAACCATAAAAGAACAAACACCCTACTCTATAACCACCATTTGATTATGTCCACATTATCAAATAAAACAGGCCTAATGTAGGAACTGTTAAAAATATTAAAAAATCCCCAACCCGATTCAAAATGAATACCAAAGTTCAGGTAAGAAAAATAAAAAACTCACCATTATCTTTATTTTCTTTCAAAAACCCATTAACAGCACATTTGAATTTAAAAATAGTGTCATCATCAGGCACCTGATGCCCAATCGTAAAAATTTTTAAGTAAGGAATAGTTTCTGGTAAATCCTATAAGGCAAAACCATTGAAATGTATATTATTTCATTTGCAGGCAAAGAATTAAAAATTAATTAGAAGAGCAAAATACAAACCAAGAGATTATAATAAACTTAGTGTGTAGTTCTGATAAAAGCCATGTTTTCCAAAGTTGCGTCAACCAAAAAGTATCACTAGATTTTCATTACTCAATAGGTATACAAAACTTAAAGCTAAACTCGTGAATGAATGCATATGTAACTAAAAATTGCACAAATAATTCTACCTATTATTTTACATTTCAAGGGCTATAAAGCAGCAGTGATTTAAGTATAATAGAGTCAGAAGAACTTGGATATCAATTGTGACACAGCAAATTTCAGGCACCATTGAGAACTGGTATTCCTGGGGTAGAAGAAAGTAGATATTGATAAAAGCCAGAAAAAATTAAATGAAAATTCTACACTTCTGAATTTAACACAAACGTATCAGTATGAACCTGTGATGTGTTTTATATAAAGGTTGCTAATTCAATTCCCAGTCAGGGCGCATGCTCAGGTTTCAGGCTTAATACCCGCTAGGGGATGTTCAGGAGGCAGCTGACCAATGTTTCTCTCTCACATAGAGGTCTCTCTCTCTCTCTCGCTCGCTCTCCCTCTTACTCCCTTCCTCTCTTTCTGAAATCAATAAAAACATAGTAATAAAAAAATAATACACACCTGGCTGGTGTGACTTAGTTGGTTGAGCACTGTCCTGTGCACCAAGGATACAGGTTCGATTCCCAGGTCAGGGCCCATACCTGGGTTTTGGGCTCGATCCCCAGTAGGGGGCATACAGGAGGCAGCCGAACCATCTTTCTCTCTCTCCCTCTCCCTTCCTCTCTAAAACCAATAAAAACATATTAAAAAGAACACACACACACACACACACACACATAATATAAACACATTTCTTAACTGTGACCACTGAAAAAGCAAAGGAACAACTGATGTCATCATGACACATCAGGGGCCACACTGAGAAGCAGCAACTGGCCTAAGACAGGACCTCAATTTGTGCCTCAATAAGAATAACAACTGCAGTGCCGTCCCTAGTGATACAAAACAATAAATAAATAAAATAAAATCTAATGGTCATCGTGGGAGGATATGAGTGAATCAATTTTTGAAAGTTGTTAAATAAAAGGAAAGAATCATGCCTCCACAACTGGGTAACCAAATAGCTGAAGAGGGAAAGCTTCTTGTTTTTTTTTTTTTTAATCCTCACCCGAGGATACTTTTCCATTTTTTGTTCAGATAGAGGGGGAGGGAAAGAGAGAGCGAAACATCGACGTGAAAGGGACACATCGAGTGGTTGCCACCCGCACAACCCATCCAGGGCCGGGGACAAACTGCAATCAAGGTACGTGCCCTTAGCGGGAACCGAACCCGGGTCTCTCTGGACCACAGGCCGACACTCTAACCGCTGAGCCAAACCAGCCAGGGCGGGAAAGCTTCTTTAGTTAGACATATACCTAGATAATAAATGGAAAAAGAACAATAGAATTTGCCATTTTTGAAGCCCCAAATTAATTAATGGATAGGTATTAATCATCAGTGACTGCTACTATTACAGAAAAAGTCAATCACTTACATGTCTCTATGGAAGAACACATCATCACCTATGAAACTGCCTTGCAAAGAAAAAGAAAAACAAAAAACCAAGCCTGAATTTGATCAAGCCTCTAAGTTCAACTACCAATTTATAATAAAAGGACTGACGAATACGTTAACACATGGAGACAAAATCATCAAAATCATTATGGGACAAATTACCTAGTTTCTTCAAAAAATAAAATTTAAGGGGGTAAATAAAAGAAAGTAACAGGGATGTGGAGGGAGAACCTATAGATTAAATAAGATTTCAGAGATCAAATAATCAAATGCAAAGTGTGAACCTTATTTGGATTTAACTCAAACTCTCAAAAACATCTTTTTAATGATGTCCTGGCCAGTTTGGCTCAGTGGCTGGAGCGTCAGTTGGCCAGCGGACCAAAGAGTCCAGTCAAGGGCACATGTACCCCAGTTGAGGTTGGGTCCCCGGCCCTGGTCAGGGTCATGCAGGAGGCAACCAGTCAATGTGTCTCTCTCACATCAATGTTTCTCGCCACCCCCCACCAAGATAAATGAAAAAATATCCTCAGGTGAGGATTTAAAAACAAAACAATTTTTAATGAGATTGAGAAGACAATTGCAAATCTGCATTCTGACTGGATTCTGACTGGTTATTTAATATTAAAGAATGATATTAAGGAATAAAGTCCTATATTTTAAATATACATACCAAAAATTTACAAAATAAAATGAAATAATATCTGAGATCTACTTCAAAATAAGATGAAATGGAGAGAAACGGGGAGAAGTGTAGATAAAACACAGTATCAGTGGATAAATATGAAAACTGGATGAGTTTATAGGTGAACAACAAACACCTACAGTATTATGTCTTCTACTACTATATGTTTAAAATTTTCTGAGAATTGTTTCAAAACAAGAAGGCATTATGGAAAACAGTCCGGCAGTTTCTCAAAGGATAAACATACAACTACCATGGGATCCAACAACTCCACTCCTACTGTACATCTAAAGAACTAACAGCAAGGCCCGGCCGGTGTGGCTCTGTGGAGTGAGCATCATCCCATGGACTGAGAGGTCCCAGTTTGATTCCCGGATGGGGGCATTCAGGAGGCAGCTGTTCGATGTATCGCTCTCACATTGATGTTTTTCTCTCTCCCTCTAAAAAAATAAATAAAAACATATTAAAAATAAATAATTAAAAGAACTGACAGCAGGGATTTGATCAAATATTTGTATAACCACATTCACAGCAGCACGATTTACAATAGTCAAAGGGAGAAAGAGTCCAAGTGTCCATCAACAGATGACTAGATAAAAAAAAAATATGGGCCCTGGCCGGTTTGGCTCAGCAGTTAGAGCGTCAGCCCGCGGATTTCATTCCCGCTTAGGGCACGTACTTCAGTTGTAGTATGTCCCCAGCCCAGTTGGGGTCGTGTGGGTGGTGACCACTTGATGTGTCTCTCTCACATCGATGTTTCTCTCTCTTCTTTTTCTCTCCCTCCCGCTCTATCTAAAAATAAAAACGCAAAAAAAAAAAAAAATGTATATACACACATGGATTACTCATCAATAAAAAAGGAATGCCAATTTGTTACATACTATAACATGGATAAACCTTGAAAATATTATGTTTAGTGAAACAATCCAGACACAGACAGACAGATTTATGAACTTATATGAGGTACCTGGAACAGGCAAATTCAGAGACAGAAAATAGAAGAGGATACCAGAGGCCGAGAGGAGGGGAAATGAGGTTATTATTGTTTAATGATTCAGTGCTTTTGTTGATGATGATGAAAAAGTTTTGGTTACAGACAGTGGAGATGGTTACACACATTGTGAATATATTTAATGTTACCGAATTATATATTTGTGAATGGTTAAAATGATAAATGTTATTTATGTATGTATATTTTACCACAATAAAAAAAAAAAAGGAAAAACTGAGTTTAAGCTTTAATTCTTCCTTTTCTGAACCTGCTTTATCATCTGTAAATTTCATAATTATAATCATTTATCCTCTGAGTTTAGTGAAGACTAAGCACTCAATAGGAGATATCAGTACTACTACTACTTCATCAGCTGAGGATTGCTATGCGAAGTTACTAAGTTAAGGTATGTGAGAGTACTTTTTAAATTGCAAACTGCTACACAAGCATTAACAAACATTAGGTGTTATTGTTTCCCAAGGCCATGGAGCTGGTCAGGAGTGTAATTCTTTCCCACTGATATGTCACATAGGCCCACAGAATATATGGGTTTCCATATTACAGACTGTAGAGAAAAGAAAGCATATAACTTTGAGAACAACTTGTCTTTTACTGTGATGCTCAGGCAACTGCTTAAAATAAAGGCTAAAGACAACGAATGTTCCTTTTTTTTTCTTTTAGTTTAATACTATTCTTACTAAAAGTTTACTTCATTTTCAAAATATAGAACATGGAAGCTTATAGATTTCCTTAAGGACAAACAAAGCCTACTGCCTAATGTTAGAATTTAATTCATGTCACTAGTCTCAATTTGAGACAATCAGAATGTTTAATTAAGGAAACCATTTGGTTCCCTTTATTCAACTGTCACCCATGAAAGAAGGCCTGGATTCACCTTAGTATAAGGTGATAACTACTAATTACTATAAATTATTATAGTATGAGAAAGAAGGTTCTTTTCAATTAAGATTTCCATTTACCTCTGGTTTATAATAGCGGCGAGTATATGTTAAATCAATAATCAGTCCAAGTTCTTCATTCTGTTCTTGGATTTTGTTAAAAAGATCCAAGGGAGTAAAACGTTCTTCTGGAGCAAGTTTCTCTTCAAAACTCTGTCAGAGAGAATGAAATAACAAACAGCAAAGATGTGCTTAAAATCCTTTCTTATAATATCCATTTATTCAAGCCCTGTGCTGCTGATATACAGTAAGATTCAAAGGAAAGTTCAATTTTATGGATTTTAAAAACAGTATTACAATCCTTTCTTCCAGACAAACTGCAGGTAAAAAAAAAAAAAAAAAGCTCCTGTATATATATTTATTTCTGTGTTTGTTTCACATTGGTCTCCTAACCAGACTGTAAGCTCCCAGAAGGCAGGGACCACAGCAATTTAGTTCCACTGTAGCTCCAGCTGCAAGTGAAGTGCCAATAAACATACTTGTAATACTTCTTAAATGGCTTTTATTGCTACATATTCTTTATGTATTTGGCTTATTTGTGTACTCTGTTCCACTGATCTTATTGGTTATTCAAGTGCCAACAACACAGAATTTTGTTTGTATTTTTAAAGAATACACTAGTTTTTAGAGCACTCTTAGGTTCACAGTAAAACTGAACAGAAAGTAGAGTCCCAACTTATACTCTCTATCACCCTACACAGCCTTGCAAAACATCAACATTCCATACCATTGTGATACATTTATTAGCAACAATGAACCAACATTGATTTATCATTATCAGTTCAAGTCCACAGTTTACATTATGAGTCAGTCTTTTGCATTGTAATTCTATGGGTTCTAACCTTTTTTTTTTTAATCCTCACTGAAAGATACATTTAGAGAGAGGGAGGGAGAGAGGAAGAGACAGGGTGGGAAGGAGGAGGCAGGGGAAGAGAGAGAGAGAGAGGGGAGGGGAGGGGGGAGAGAGAGCGAGAGACTGATGTGAGAGAAACACTGATCAGTTGCCTCCTGTACGTGCCCCCAACCAGGGATCAAACCTGCAACCTAGGTATGTGCCCTGACCAGGAATCAAACCCCCAACCTTTTGGTGTACAGATGATGCAACAACCAACTGAACCACCCAGCCAGAGCTGAGTTTTGACCAATTTATAATATGTATTTACCTTATAGTGTCACTTAGAAGAGGTTCTCTAACCTAAACATCTCCTGTACTACAGCAACACTTTTAATATGCCTTAATTATTAGCAGGGCTAGAGGACCCCCTTTAACCATTATTCTTTTTTTCCCCCAGAATTTTCCTGGCTATTTAAGTTTATTTTTCAATGTGAATTTTAGAATCAGCCTATTTGAGACAATGTTAAGCTTATGAATAAACTTAGGAAGATTGAACAGATTTATGATGTTGAGTCTGAAAGTTTTAAAGAGTAAATTAATTACAGTAAGGCATATAATCTCTCCAGTCAGTTTCTTGAAGACTTGGAGCTGATGGATCAATTATCATCTCCAGCTATCTGAACAGTAACTAATTTTTGATAACTAAATAAATCACAACCCTTTAGGAAGCCTTCATTAACTCTGTTATCATTTCACCCTCTTTTGAATTCCTAAGTATTTCTTGCTGTGGATTTATTTGACACTTAACATATTTTATTTTATATTCCAGTGTGCTTCTTAACAAGTGACTGTCAAGTATAGAGGTGACATTTCCTTGGATGACTTCCATAAAACACACAGAAAACCCACGTTACATTTGACTTCCACACTTGGGTAATTTATCTCCCTAATTCTACTGCATGAATAAGTACTACACTGGAAATGGTTATATAGTTATGTGGTTTCTTATACAATCCCAACCCTGAATTAAATCACTTAAGTATACTGAGCTAGAAGAGGCTTTTCATAGTGACATCACACAGGAAAGATTTGTGCCTGTGTAGAGGAAAGAAAATAAAGAGTCTCATGTTTTCTCTCTTGCTGATGTACTTTCTGGCAAGAGGCTAAGCTGAGACACCCTGTTAAAACCTCAGGAATCCACTTTTAGAGCCCCTTAAGGTACAGACTTGAGTTGCATAGACAGGAAGAACACGGGAGAAAATTCACAGTACTAACTGCAAATGTGGGCGGAGAGTCCATTCATTCAACAAACATTTACTAAGTATTTATTATATGTCAAACACTGTGCTTGGTGTTGGTGGATGTGAATAAGAACCCTATGTTTATCTTTATCAAATAATTAATTTTAAAGTCCAGAGATGCAGAAGAAATGACACAGTAGGCAAAAAAGAAACCCTGACCTATGCATAACAAATTAAATAAATTCCCAATACATTTAAAGTGGGCTTTTCCTGATACTAATCCACGGTATGCGGGACAATTTATAAGATATAGACTCTATTCTCACCTTTTTTATATAGGTCAAATGTTTTCCCCACCTATTACTTTCTTAGTTCAAACAAAAACACAATTTTCAGAATTTCCATACTGAAATCCTAACCTTGTTGATCTAAGACATTATTTGGTTTTGATGATGTGAGCAAAGGGTCTTACTGGCATCTAGTGGGTGGGGTCATGAATGCTAGACATCTTGCCAAATTCAAGGGAACAGTCCTACAGTGTGTTTCATACCTGAATGACTCTTCAATGTCCTATTCAACATTCATATAAACTGTTCATAATTATCTAAGCCTTAGAAACTAACTCCAACCCTGGCTGGTTTGGCTCAGCGGTTAGAGCATCAGCCTGCGGTCCAGAGAGACCCGGGTTAGGTTTCCGTTAAGGGCAGTACCTTGGTTGCAGTTTGTCCCCGGCCCTGGTTGGGTCGTGCGGGAGGCAGCCACTCAATGTGTCCCTTTCATGTGGATGTTTCTCTCTCTCTCTCTCTCTACCTCCCACTCTATCTGAACAAAAAATGGAAAAATGTCCTCAGGTGAGGATTAAAAAAAAAAAAAAAAGAAACTCCATTTCACAAACACAAAGGGTTTTTTGCCATTCTAATGTACACTGAATTTTCCAGGATAGTCATCACTTATTAGCCAAGTGAAGAATGAACTTGGGTTTTATTTGGAAATCTACTGAGAGCTATTTACTGTTATGGAAAATCCTACCTGTAAGGCAATATGACCCACCAAAATCAGTCCACATTTGCAGTTTTTGCATTCATAGTGCAAGAACCGACTTTATTTCTAAATGCCTAAACATTTACATATTGAAATGTAAATACACATTACTTTATTATAAATTCCTTTATTTATTTCTTGTATGAGAGTTAGAGCAATTCACTGATTTTTTTCTTTAAAAGTAAATATGGATGAAGGTGGTATTGACCTATGAATTTCATTTCAGGATAGTAAAGGCGAAATACAAAGTAGGTGCTATGACAAAAGAAATGGGAGTGTGATTGACAACCTGTGTTCTACATGGTGAAATTAGATTTCTGAAAGACTCCTGAATAAATTTTTGCTTACCTTTTTCAAAGGAACTTTGAAAGCAATGAAACGAGTCCCAGGCATCCTCTGTCCAACTGGGAGATAGTCTTTCCATCTGTTAACACATTTTTTGTTAGCCAAATTTTCTTAGCCTGTCTCCCTGCACAAACTGAAGACTCCTCCATCGCCTCTTCTCTTTGCTTTGCTTTCTTTAAAAATAAAAATGTTTTTAGTCCTGGCCAGTTTGGCTCAGCAGTCAGAGCGTCGGCCTGCGGTCCAGAGAGACCTGGCTTTGGTTCCCGCTAAGGGCAGGTACCTCAGTTGCAGTTTGTCCCCAGTCCTGGTTGGTCATGCAGGTGGCAGCCACTCGACGTGTACCTTTCACATTGATGTTTCTCTCTTTCTCTCTTTCTCGCTCTCCCTCCTACTCTATCTGAACAAAAAATGAAAAAAGAAAAAAATGTCCTTGGGGTGAGGGGGGGAAAATGTTTTTATTGATTTTTTTAGAGAGAGAGAAAATAGAAACATCCATGTGGGAGAGAAACACTGATCGGCTGCCTCCTGCACGCCCCCTACTGGGGATCAAGCCCACAACCTTGTCATGTGCCCTGACCAGGAATCCAACCAGAACCTCCCAATCCATGGGAAGATGCTCAATCTACTGAGCCACACCTGTTGGGCACTTTGCTTTGCATTTTGATGCTCCACATATTCAACCCACCTAGTTCCTCTACATTCCCTTCTTCCTGTTTCCAAATCCTGAAAACAGATACAAGGCAACAAAACAGTGCAAAGGTCTCAACAAATGAGGCATAGCTAACACAAGAGATGCAAGAACTTCTGTATCTGATAAAACTTAGCCTGGTACTAAATAATAAGGTAGCATTAATACATACATGTTGACTGAAATAGTTTAAACTCAATTCCTTCACTTCATAGTTTATTTTTAGTCCTCATACAATGGATGCCATCAAATCTGATCAGTAGGGAACTTAAAGTTCATATCCTAAAAGAAAAGCTGATAGAAAAGGGACTGTGAACTTCACTTAACAATACTAGGAGTCACAGTAAAAATTAATATTTGAGCTGACTTCTGTTAGATGAGTTAGAATTAACATAGGTTGATTCAGTACATCTGAAACAGAAAGTGAGGTCAAAAGTGGCAAAGTTGGGTCTGGAGAAGCAGATTGGATTCTAGAGAGGACAGTCCTCAAGGCCATGGTATAAAGTTTGTTTTTATTCTTGAAACAATGCTCTTGAGTGATATTTTTGAACAATGTTCCAAATTGCCTATTTAAAGGGTTTCTTATGTGAAGGATGGATTGGAAGGAAACAAGAGTAGATGGATATACATACACTAGTGAGGGCCTAACTGCAATCAATCAGGCAAGCTCCGTATTAGGATGCTGATGGACAGAAGCTAAAAGATTCAAATATTTTCAGGGGATAAAATGAAGGAAACTTAATGACATAGGAGGTGGAGGAAAGGTCGGTCTGGAGGAATAAGTAAGGGTTCATTGCACATTTAAGCAAAGTCTCAACATTAACCATTTGAACCTCTAGAAAATGATCTCTCAAATGAGACCTGTTAGGAAGCAACAGTATGCCCTTTGTCACTCCTGGAAACAATACGAACCAACCTGTTCGGTTAAAAGTTCATCGGTGCTGGTGGGTTTTTTCACTCTGACTTCGACCTTATTACATTTTCTGTGCCAAAATAGCCCAACTTCTGAAATTACGGGGGACTCTATTTTGGTAATTAATGGGTGTCCCCAAAACTGACAGTCCCATCTTAAAAAGCAGCTCCTCTGCATTTGACCCGAAGGGCAAAGGTCAGACCCTCACTTTAATTTTTTTAAATGTACTTTTATTGTGGAGAGGATTACAGACCTCCCTCACTCCCCTACCCCTTTGCAGAGCCTCGCTTTTACAGATAGGAGAAATCAGAAACGCGCAGGCGGCCCCTCTCAGCCACTGCGTGCAGGCCCGCCAGAGGGGCAGGGCTACCGGCTGGGGGCGGCCGGGGGCGGCCGGGCCGAGCGCGCGACTACACCGACAGGCAGAGGCCAGGGGAGATGAAGCCCAGGCCACGGAGCCACCAGCTGCAAGGGCCACGCCCAGGGGCCACGGCACATTACCTTTCGGGGATGTGGTTCCCGCCCTTCTTCTTGGTCGACGAACGTCCAGAAAAGCCGCGGCCCCGGCCCCGACCCCAGCCGCCGCGGGCACCATGCCATTGGCTCATGTGGACCCCAAGATGCCGCTCACCCAACCCCAAGAGCGCCAAAGTCGCCAGTGCAACTCTGTGGAAGCCAAAACGAGATCCTCCACCGGAAGCTCCGACACAGCAACCTCCGCAGCTCCGCCTCCCACCCGGCTCCTTGCTAATGCGCACGCGCCACTGCCCGTGCTGATGACGTCACCGCGCGGGCTGACTGAACGGCTAGATTAGGAAACAGGACACTAGTGGCTATGGTGCCCTCCTTCGCCTGGGGCCGGTAACACAAGTGCATGAGTTCATATATAGTCCTTCAGAGTTCAAACACTACATACAACCCATGGAATGAAAAGTCAAGTCCCACTTCCCCAGTTCCTTGTGTGGTCCTTCCAGATATTTTCCAAGTGCTTCCATTCCCACTTATTATATAGTGTATATAAATATTTATTTGTGCAAATATGGCTATCCTCTATTTCATATAAAAGCACTAATCTATATATATTCTACAATATAGCTACAAAAATCTTATAATGTTCCCTCTCAATTTATGTGTACAGCCATTCTATTGTTTTTCATGGTTGCATAGTATTCCACTTATTATAAGCGTCATAATTTATATAACCTGTCCAATATTGATAGACTTTCAGTTCTTTGCAGTTTTTTTTTGTCCTCCATTAAGACAGGCTGCCATGTTCACATCCTTAGATATGTATACAACTATATCTAAATTTCTAGAAGCAGAATTTCTAGAATGAAGGATATACAAACTTAAAATTTTGAAAAATACTGCCTAATTATCCTCCAAAAATATTGCGTTAACCTACACTCCTACTCACAATGAAACTTTTATTGGGTTCCTATCATATGCCAGGTAGTATGAATTTACATTTTAGAAAATAGCAAAACATAGACAAGAGTGGAGCTCTAAGATTCCATACAGTATCAGGCTCAGAGGTCTGTATCTGTTAGCAAACCTCTCAGTTTTGCTGATTGCAACATCAAAAGACTGCATGTCCAGCAGTAGGTTTGAAGGCAGAATAGAATACCAAATTTCAGATTCAATTGTAGATAATTACAATGCTACCTTAGACAGTTAGTGGGAGTGCAGGGGGTTCTCTCCCATTGGCCAAGTTGGCTGCAGGGGGTTGTTACACTGAACGGGTCAAAAGCTAGAAATATGATTGAATAGGGTCTGAGTTGGGGGTGGAGAGGGATGGCAAAGTCTGAAAATATAAATGGACAGTACCTGAGGGCGCCAAAAGCTATAAAGATGAATGGATAGCACCTCCAGCTGTGGAAAGCTAGGAAGATGAATGGATAGGGCCCCCAGGGCCCCCAGCACACCAAAAGCTAACAAGATAATTGGATTGATAAAAAGTTCTCCACTCCTTATTTCTGTAAGATCCATTGGCTTGAGCATGAAGGTATTGGTTTTTGAGAGGGGATTCTGCCATTCTCCCAGGTCGTGTGGCTCCTGAATAAAACCTCTTTCTTTTTGTACCAGCACTTGCCTTGTGAGTTTGGCTTTTGGTGAGGCAGGCAGGAGAACTTCCATTTTTTGTTTGTTTGTTTATAGTTTTTGTTGAGCCAGATGAGACAGTGTGGAGCTCCGTGAGTCCCTTGGTAAGTCTTAGAGGGCTCAGGCTGGGGTCCCAGCTCTCTGTGGCCAGCCTACCCTGGGAGAGCAGGACAGTGGGGATTTCCCAGCAGCTGCAGAGAGCTTTTCTCGGGGAATTTCTCTGCACTCCTTCTCCAGGTGTCAGCTGCCTGAAATACTTGGCTGGTGAAAGGAAACAGGTTTTGGGGGAGCAAACTCTAAAACTGGGTAAGTTGAACCGACGTGCATACTGGGGTCCTCTACCCCTGCTGCTTGGGTTTTGTGCTGCCTCGGCTTTGTGCCACTTGGGCTTTGTGCCGCTCCAGTCCAGTTAGGATCACTTGCAGTGTCAGTTGGCGGGAGATAAGACACTAAGACTTGCTTGGGAGCACTAGTTTGGACTAATGGAATTATGGATCTAAGTTTTGTTTATGTGTTTCCACTTTGTCTGGAGTCTTGTTATGGTTATGGTTATGGTTTTGTACTTTCGTGCCATCAGGGGTTCTTCTGTTTTAAATCCTGAAGGGAGTCCACTGGGCCGAATTTGAGCAGATTGGTCCATGTACAGCTATGATACAATGACTAAGAAGGAATTGGTTTTCTAGTCTAACACTACCTAGCCTATGTATACTTTAGACTATGAGGGAAAATGGCCCTTAAATGGTTCCCTAAATTACTACATTATCATACAGTTGGAATTGTTTTGCTAATGCAGAGAAATGGGACAAAATCCCTTATGTCCAGGCATGTATGTATTCATACAATAAAGATCTGGCAAAGAAAGGGAACAACCTAATGATGCAGAGAATGGAATTGGCTTCAAAATCCCTCCCTGATAGTTACACAAAGGGAGAAAAGGAAAATGAGGAAACTAGTCTTTTTAATGCCCTGAACCTCGGGGATCCAGGATTAGCAGCAGGAAGATTTCTTCCTCACCCCCCCCCCATGCTGCTGGATGCCCCTGAGATAGGGCCCAGAGGGGTGACAGCCCCACCCTTGTATGATGAAGAAAGGGCCTTCCTGTTGAAGACTTGGCAGGACACCCAATTTGGCCAGGGAGCATTCCTATTCAGCGCAGGACAGTTCCCTTTGAGATGAAACCCTATAGGTGGAATAAACCAGGAAGGCTATTATTAGGGCCACACTCTATTTTCTACTTCAGATTTACTGAAAATTGGAAGAATTCCAACCTCTCATATAGGGAGAATCCTCAGAAAAATTGTGGATCTTATCACCTCCATTTTTGCCACACACCATCCACACTGGGCAGATGTATAGACTCTCTTTAACATCCTGCTAATGGCAGATGAAAGGCAGCTAGTTATAAATAAAGCTAATGAAGAGGCTCATCACCTCCATCAAGAGAATCCCAATGGGGCTCCCAACCCAGCTTGGGGAACTCCCTTGAAAAAGCCCACTGGGACCCAAATAGCAGGGACCCAGCCTCCCTAGAATATTACAAAAGGTGAATGTTGGAAGGGATTAAGAAAGGGGTGCCTAAACAAAAGAGCCTGAATATGATAAAGGCCATTCAACAGAAATCAAGTGAAGACCCTTCTGAATTTTTAGAAAGAATCTATCAGACCTATCAAAAGTACACTGATGCTGACCCACAGGCACCAGAAAATGTCTGGATGGTAAACACAACTTTAAAATTCTTTTTTGGTTAATCCTCACCCGAGGATATTTTTTCCAATGATTTTTAGAGAGACTGGAAGAGAGGGAGGGGGGGAGAGAAAAAACATTGATGTGAAAAAGATACATTGATTGGTTGCTTCCCGCACCCACCCTGACTAGGGCCAGGGATTGAACCTGCAAACCAGGTACATGTCCTTGACTGGGAATCAAACCCGAAACCATTGAGCCACACCAACCAGAACATTGGGAATGAATCCCTCCCAGCTGATGGACATGGCCTTTAACGTTTACCATTCCCAGGAAACCAGGAAATTAAAGCAGACTGCAGTTTTCTTAGAAACAGTGTGGGGAAACCAGAAGGAGAGGCAGGACACAGAAGGAACAGGGAAAGACCCACTAGGTGTCAATCAATGCGCCTTTTGCAAAGAGGAAGGCCATTGGAGAAAGGGAACCCAAAAATAAAAAAATAGAAACCCCCGCCAGGAAATGTTAGAAAGGAATGACGAATCTGATGACAAATGAGGAGGCCCAGAGGCTCCCCTAGACATCTCCCAACCTATTACTATTTCCCCGCAGGAGCCCCGGTACAAGTAACAGTAGGGAACAAGCTAATTGACAGTATGTAGATAAGGGAGCTACATACTCAGTGCTAAATATAAAACTAACCGAGAAAAGTTCAGCTGCGGTGACAGTTACTGGAGTGACTGGACAATTACAAAAACAGGCATTCCTTCTACCTCTAGAACACCTGCTTGGGGATCAAAAACGTATGCGTAGTTTTCTCCACATGCCAGACTTCCCCATTCCATGACATTTACTTTGTAAATTGCATGCACAAATAATTTTTTCCCCTGAGAAGCAGTCGTTATGTTTAGAAGTCCCACTAGAACATGCTCTCCAGCTCCAGGTGATCCTGACCTGCCCGGAAGGACCCAAGATCTACAAGCAGGTTGATCGAGCTGCTTGGGCTGATGGAACCCCAGGTAGGGTGGTTAATATCCAACCCATAAAAATTAACCTAAAAGGAGGGGCGCAGATCCCATGGAAGAAACAATACCCCCTTTAAAAAAAAAAGCTTTGATCTATGCTGGTGTGGCTCAGTGGTTAGAGGGTTGGCCTGTGCACCGAAGGGTTTCGGGTTCAATCCCCAGCCATAGTCAGGGCATGAGCAGGAGGCAACCAATTGCTGTTTCTCTCTCTCTCTACCCCCTCCTTCCCTTTGCCTCTTCCCACCCTCCCTCCCTTTCCCGCTCTCTAAAAATCAATGGAAAAAAATATCCTCAGTTGAGGATTAACTGAAAAAAAAAAAAAAAAGGAAGCTTTGGAGGGAATTCCACCAGTATCGCAGAAATTCTTAAAATCAGGATTAATTCAGCCATGCCAATCTCCCTAGAACACTCCCATTTGCCAGTCAAAAAACCTCACTCTGATGAATATCAGTTTGTACAAGATCTTAGAGCCAGAAATGATGTTGTCCAGGACATTCATCCTACAGTTCTCCACCCCTATACTCTGTTGACTATGGTGCTCAGGGACAGCAAATAGTTTTCAGTCCTAGACTTGAAGGATGTTTTTTCTGCATCCCAATAGATGAACAATCTCAACTATCATTTGCCTTTGAATGGCAGGACCCAGATACTAAAGCCATGCTCCAATATTGTTGGACTGTGTCGCCACAAGGATTTAAGAATTCCTAACAATATTTGGGGAAATATTAGCAAACTATTTAAGGGATTACAGGGTTTTGCTGAATTTGGATTTCAAACTTTGGTCTCATAGTGAAACCCTTGTATAATTATTTGAAAGGACTAGATTCTGAACCTCTTGAATGAACCAGAGACTGTCAGGCAGTATTTGACACC